GATGTTGGAGTGTAGACCTAAGTGAAGGAGCAGAAAGTTGATTTGACCAGTAATTTAATAGGTTGATCAAGACTTAAGAAGTTTTTTGTTTTTTCAAATTCAGATCTTTAAGAAGAAGTCTGAAGTAATATCAGTTATTCATGCTTGACTAGATCACAGAACTTTTCATAATTGTTGCAGCCTTGGATCACCCTAACAGCCCTGGAAAGTGACAAGGATGCATAATTTTAATGCCATTTCAAAGATGAGAAATTAGCCGCAGAGAGTTTACAAGTCTTTCCAGTGTCACATGGTTGGGATTGGAGTAGAGGATGCTTGGCTTGTAGGCATTGCATTTTCTATTACATTGTTTTCAGACAATACTTGTTTTCTGTATTTTTATATATTATTTTCATGATGGATTTAAATAAATACTTGTAAGTCCAAACTGTTATAAATAAATAATTTTTAAAAAGATGGAGAAAGGACAGGCTTTTGCTTACCTTAAAATTCTAATTGATAAATGTAGCTAGAATGATAGAAATAGAAAAATCATTCTTTTTCAGAGCAGTAATTGTTGCTGGTGAGAATCACTAGTGTTTGCTAACATTAGTGAGTGGAAGTATGATGATAAACAAGATGTTTTTAGAGTTTCAAAGTATCTCCTCACAAAATACTTACTAATTACCAAGGGACAAGTAGTAACTTTACAGTAGAGAAACCTGGCAGGTACTACCTTAATCAAGTGATAAAAATCAGCTTTGTCAATGATGAGATACATTGATACCATCTACCCCTTGATGTGATGCCCTGAAAAGGGCAGGGTTTCATGTCTCTGGTATTTTTGCCCAAAACACATAATCTGATTTAACCCTGAAGACACTAGACAAGCCCAAATTGAGGGTTATCATTGAACAAAATAATTGGCCAAGTCTCTTCAAAAGTGTCGTGGTCACGAAAGACAAACAGAGGACCTGTGCCAGATTCGAGGGCGCTGAGGAAGCACGGCAGCCAAATGCAGCATGGAGTTCAGCATTGGAACCTATGGTAGGTGAAGAGCATTATTTGGACCTTGACAGAATTTGGTAAGGTCTATAGATTAGGTAACAGTTTCGTATAGCAGTATTAATTTTCTGGCTTGGACAGTTGTGTTATGAATAGGTAAGGTGTTAACATATGGGAGGCCAGGGGAAGGTTTATGGTAACTTTTTACTAGTCTTGCAGATGTTTTATATATCTGAAATTATTTCAAAGGGGAAAACGAAAAATACAAAAAAAGAATGCAGTCTCTGCCTTCAAAGCACCTACAGTCTAGTGGTGGAGATTGTCATTGATGTAAAAACATACAAATATACAATTTCTAAGTGTGATAAGTGCTCCAAAAGGCACTACAGAGTGGGATGGGAGTGTGTTTATGGGGTATTTATCCTATTTGGGGGGTGGGGGAAAGAGCGTTTGAGCTGAGAGCTGAAGGGAGACTAGCAGTCAGGGAGGTGAAGGAGGCAGGGAGAGCATTCCAGGCAGAGCAGACAGCACGCACAAAGGCCCTGTGGCAGGAAAGAGCAGGGCACATTGAAGGAATCAGAACAAGGCCAACGCTGCTGGTATTTAGAGAGTGAGGAGAGGCAGGAGGAGATGGGCTGGAGAATCGGGTAGGTGGTAGAAAAGACAGATTGGGATGATTTCAAGAGGAGGATACAGGGTCAGGGAAGGAGACATTACCATTAGTTTAACTTTTATTATGTACCAGGGTCTGTGCTAGACACAGCCCTGAAGTAGATGCTGTTGTTAGCCTATGCTTACAGATGGAAAATGTAAGTCACATGCCAGCGTCACTGAGCAACTGTAGATTTCAGCTCATTGGTTCTGCTGAGCTGAGTTCTCCAGATCTCGAGAGCACCACGGGAGGAACTTTGCACTGTTAGCCCTGCCTTTGCATTTGCTGAGCTGTGTCACGTGAAGCTCATTGTGCAGCAGACTCTTCATTATCCAGAGCTATTAGCTGATGAAAGGATCAGGGGATTCTACCTTCTGTACGACTTACACTTTTGTTAGTGCCACCACACTTTCTCAAGTGTTTAAAACACAGAAGGTGAGAGAAAGTATTCAGTAGAGGACTCGGATGGTCACGGGGTTTCCTTCATGATTGAGAAGGCATGCGTGGATCTTCAAACTCGTGATCACTCTCAAAGCCACTTAACACTGTAGCAAAAACAAGAAAAAAAGAATCCCCTTAGTGAAGCTAGGCTGATTCTAGAGCAAAAGCTAGACCTTGCTTTACAGGGGTGTCAAACCCGTGGCCCATGGGCCACATGTGGCCCAGGATGGCTATGAATACGGCCCAACACAAAATTGTAAATTTACTTAAAACCTTTTTCCCCCTGCTCATTAGTTTTCATTAGTGTTTGTATATTTAATGTGTGGCCCAAGAAAACTCTTCTTCCAGTGTGGCTCAGAGACACCAAAAGATTGGAGGACACCTAATAAACTATTGATATCAATGCTTTTATCGTTTGGCCAGTTCCTCTCTTTTGTAACAGTGTCTAAGGGGAGAAGGATGTCCCAGTTGTGAATCAGACTGAACTTTGTGCTTGTTAAAGTTCTGTGAACACAGTCATTTATTGTCATGTTAGTAACATTTCTTCTATGGGATGGGCTATGGGAGACTTACATCTGTCTGTTTTTAGCTTTCTGGGAATACCCAGAAAATCCATTTGATCTAGTGTTTATGCTATAGACATCCTTTAAAAGTTGCTGTTGATGGTTGTCACTCTCTGTTAAGTTGACATTAACAGGAAACCTGAAACAGGGAAATGACAGAGATGTTGGGTTTTGAGGCTCTGGTTGATATTCCTTTTTTATCTCAAATGGCTTAAGGCAGATGGTGGGAAAGGTAATGTGCTGATGGTAATGTGGTTTATATCTTCAGATTTTATCCTCACAAGTTAAATTTCCAATTGTTAAAGGACCTGGGTGACTACTCACGGTCCCGATTATCAGCCCTGGGTCTAGTTATTTGGAAGGTCAAGGCTATGGGTTTACTCCCACCCAAAGCACCTTTGCTCTGGCCTGGAGGAGCCCCTTAATTTTAATTTAATTTTTTGGACCATATAAAACATGCGGAGAGCTTCTCAGCAATTCCAGATGTTCAGGTTTGGATAACCTCTTACTGATTCCGACCTCCCGGGGGCCATGCTGCCGTGCTGGGTGCTTGTCGAGGCCATTCCCTTGTGGGCCTCAGGGGGACTCACAAGGAAGAAGTGAGTCTGCTCTGCATGACCCATAATGGGTGTGGATGGAGCTCAGTGGGTTCCCCTTAATGAACGGAGGCGCCGAGCAGCCCACAGCCCAGCTCCTAAGGAAGGAAGAAAGAACAGATTTGGGAATAAACCAGAAGAGGGTGAGGGTTCTGAGGTTGGTTGGCTGGTGGGAAGCAGAGCCGGGGGAAATTCCCTGACCTTGTTCAGGTTTCCCGTTTTACCTGTACTCGTGTGTGTGTGTGTGTGTGTGTGTGTGTGTGTGTGTGTGTGTGTAATTAGTTCTACACGGTTTTGCCGCATGTGTAGTTTCGTGTATCCACCAGCAGTTAGGATACTGAGTGGTCCCATCCCCACAAGGACCTAATACTGCTCTTTTAAGACCACACCCACCTCCCGCCCGGGCTCCCCGTCCCTCCTTCCTGATCCCTGGAAACTGCTAATCTGTTCTAAAATCTTCTAAAAGGTTTTTCATTTCAAAAAGTTGTAGAAATGGAATCACACAGTGTGCGACCTCTTGCGACTGGCTTTTTTCGCTCAGAATAATTCCCCGAACATTCATCGAAGGCAATGATGATGTCCGGGGAATTATACGCCCTCTTTCATCTCCTGGCACACACAATCACTAAATCTCTGTGGCACACAAAATGTATATTTTTTGCTGATCCAAAGAAATAGATATAATTTTGATGCGTTCACACTGACGGCTCTTGTGTTGGTTGTTGTCATTTTTTTTATTTGACAACCTAAGGGGAGAGAGATCCATGCCCCTGACTAAATAATCAGGCATTGCATGTTTGAAAAATGCTTCCAGCTCACCGGTTGAAAATCGCTGTTCTAAGCCATGCGGAGCTCATGGAAACCTCTTAGAACTGACCACCACTTGAGCTACGCTCCCTGGTGGTTGAAGTAGCACTTTATGTTGTTCTGTTTTAAACAGACCTCTTTCAAGTTTCAAGGAGGCGCTCCCTAGTTATAGTATTCTGGGATTTTGAGAATGATTTTATTTTTTTTTCATGATTCTATAGCCTTTCCTAGGTCTTAATTTCTAAATTACAATCCTCATTTATTAAGTCTTATTCATCCTGAAATCTATGGGCCACCTTGGACATTGCCCTATCCTTCCCTAGATCTTTCCCAGCTGTTCTTATACCTTTATGAAGTAGGATGTCCTGAAGCGCATGCAGCTTTTCCAGCTTACGTGCGCTCCAGTTTCATGTGTGTTTACTCTACGGGAGACGGTGTGGTGTATATGAAAATGCACGATTTTAAGGGCTTAGGAAACCTTGGATCTTAGGCTGACTAAGTAACTAGCCCCTCTGGCGCTCGGTTTCCCTACTTGCTAAATGGAGATAGTGGTATGTTCCTCAAACATTCAGGAGCATATCAACTCAGCACTTTAAAGCTGATACACTGCCTTGCACATAGTAGGCACTGAATAACTTAGAGGAAAAGGAGAAGAAAGAGAATGCTCCCAATTTTGATATTATCTTGTTTATAGTGAGGGACCTAGTTAATGAAATAAGTAATAATTATTTCAAAGAAGCACTTTTGAACATCCCTGTAAGCTTCAAATTTCAGCTGTCTTGGTCATATTCATTTAAATTGATTGTTCTTCCATTTCAGTCGTGTGTAAGAGCATTGCATTCCTATGTTGTTAATCACAAAGTAAATGTATGGCCTTGCGCCTCGACAAGCATGAATGAGCAATAGTTGAGAGAGAGAGAGAGAGAATTAACTCTCTGCCTTCTGTTGCGTGTATAGACGGCCCTGGCACCCCCCAGGAGCTGGCTCTGCAGCGAGAGAGGTGGGAGAGGAACACGTCGCCCCGCCGGAGCCTCTCCCGGCGTTCCATCAGCAAAGAGAGATGGGTGGAGACGCTGGTGGTGGCAGACACGAAGATGGTTGAGTATCACGGCAGTGAGAACGTGGAGTCCTATATCCTCACCATCATGAACATGGTATGTCAGACTCCGTGGGGGGACGGGCAGCTGGCGAACATGTTCCACACTCCCAAAATAAGAGAGACCTTTTTTCTTTGTTATTCTTTTAATATAGGTACATGAATCTTTTCCCAGCCTAAGTGATTGAGGGTGGAAATTCAGGACATACTAGTCTTTCTCTTAAAAATGTGTGTCCTAGGAAAATTTGTCATTTATCAGTTACATTTTCTGCTGGGTATCTAGCAAGTGACTCAGTTCCTTCAGTCTGACTTTATTTCATTGTTTTACTTTAGTGCGTAAATGAGTAAACTGAGGCGCAAAGAACTAGAACATGATTTCCTTAAGGTAGGTAGAGCTAGAATTGGAATAGAATTAATGTCCCTGAATTTCAAGTTTCCCGTTTGCACTGCTGAAGTGTTCTACCTTCCCAGTGACTGTGAGGCCGGTCGAGATGGGGAAAGATGTTTGCCAGAGTCACTGATAATAAAAGAGAGAAGACCCTGGGGCAGGGAACGGATCTGAGAGAAGAAAGGCAGCAATCCCTCCAGCACACAGCTGAGCACTAACCTTGGATTGGGCCAGGGGCCTACCTTGCCCTTCTTTGTACTCCAGCACAACTTCTTGACCTATAAGATTACATTTGTTTTAAGTGCATCGCAATGCTGTACCCTCTGTTCCACGCCCCCTCACCCTGCACACATTTATATGTTGTGAATTTGCATCGGCTAATGGCTTTCTGTTTCTGACTCTAGGTCACTGGGTTGTTCCATAACCCAAGCATTGGCAATGCAATTCACATTGTTGTGGTTCGGCTCGTCCTACTTGAGGAGGAAGAGGTAAGGAATAGTTTCCATACACTGTTCCAACCTTTATCTTCGCTCCTTACGTCCTTTCTTTCTTTCTTTTTTTTTTTTTTTTTTGGTAGATTTTAAGATGAGGCAATGTTTTTTTTTTTTAAATTTCTAAATCTTTCAAAAGAGAAATTTTACATAAAAAGCACACATTTTCCAACTATGAGAAAAGATTACTAGAATTATTAGAGAATAAGGCTTGTGATTATTATAACAATTAGGATTTCATACATTTAAGTTTATGGAGAAAAAAACATCTCTTGATGAACAAGTTCTCAGCTACAACTCAAAAGAATAGATACACCTCATGTGTGATTAGAAGGGTGATTATTTAGCTAAGTCAGTATTTTTATTCCCTTTTTTTATTGTTGTTCAAGTACAGTTGTCTCCATTTGCCTGCCACCACTTTCCCCTGCTCCACCAACGCCCCCCCACCCCCACCCGCGTTTGGCTTTGTTCCTGGGTCCTTTATACACGTTCTTGGACGACCTTTCCCCTTCTGTCTTCCGTTATCCCCCTCCCAGCTTCCTTCTGGTCACTGTCAGTTTGTTCTTTATTTCAATGTCTCTGGTTCTATTTTGCTTGCTTGTTTGTTTTGTTGGTTAGGTTCCACTTATAGGTGAGATCATATGGTGTTTGTCTTTCACCGCCTGGCTTACTTCACTCAGCGTAATGCTCTCTAGTTCCATCCATGCTGTCGTGAAGGGTAGTAGCTCTTTCTTTCTGCTGCTTAGTATTCCACTGTGTAAAAGTACCATAGTTTTTTGATCCACTCATTTACTGATGGGCACTTAGGTTGCTGCCAGAACGTGGCTATTGTAAATTGTGTTGCTATGAACATTGGGGTGCATAGGTTCTTTTGAATTGGTGCTTCGGTATTCTTAGGGTATAATCCCAGCAGTGGAATTGCCAGGTCAAAAGGCAGCTCCATTTTTAGTTCTTTGAAGAAATTCCATACTGTTTTTCCCAGTGGCTGCACCAGTCTGCATTCCCACCAACAGTGTGCTAGGGTTCCCTTTTCTCTACAATCTTGCCAGTACTTGTTTGTTGATGATGTTTATGATGGTCATTCTGACCAGTGTAAAGTGATAATCTCACTGTGGTTTTAATTTGCATCTCTCTGATGGCTAGTGATGCTGAGCATCCTTTCATATGTCTCTGGGCCCAGTGTATGTCCTCCTTGGAGAAGTGTCTGTTCAGGTCCTTTGCCAATTTTTAAATTGGATTGTTTGTCTTCCTGGATTGGAGTCATGTGAGTTTTTCATATATTTTGGAGATCAAAATCTTGTCTGATGTATCATTGGCAAATATATTTGCACATATATTTGGTTCCCTTTTCATTTTGCTGATGTTTTCTGTAGCCATGCAGAAGCTTTTTATTTTGACGAAGTCCCATTTGTTTATTCTTTCCTTTATGTCTCTTGCTCTAGGGAGCATATCAGTGAAAATATTGCTGCGTGGAATATCTGAGAATTTCCTGCTTGTGTTCCCCTCTAGGACTTTTATGGTGTCGCGACTTAAATTTAAGCCCTTTACCCATCTTGAGTTTATTTTTGTGTATGGTGTCAGTTGGTGGTCAGGTTCCTTTTTTTTTGCACATAGCTGTCACTGCTTCCCCTACTTCCTTTCTTTAGGAAAGCTCTGAATGGACAAATGAGAGGGTACCAGAAAGATGCTTACAGGCCCCTTGAGAAGAAAATAGTATTTCTGTATCATTTTCTTGGGAATTCAATGATGCCAAATTTCTTCCTGTGTCCTGCAGAGACTTTCAGGGTCCTTCTGGTCTTTCCTTGTCACCCTTTGCCTTGCTTCCGCCCTCGCACTCACTGGACTTTGAAGAGGCCTGGGAACACCCAAGGGCCCGTAGCCTGCAGCACCCCTTCCCTCACTCTGCTCCCAGCTGCCACCTTCTCACCTCTCAGGCTCAGGGGCAGAGCTGCAGCTGCAGTATGGTCTCAGGGACCAGCCTGCTCAGAGCTGCCCCCCTTACCGTTCTCCATCACAGAATGCAGCTCACTTCCTTTACTGATACCACTCTCACAGTTCATTAACTTTCTGGGTATGTCTACTCCTTCCTCGCTCATGTCAGCCACCATCAGAATGTGAATTCCGTGAAGGCAGAGACTGTTTCTTTATTCTTGGCTGTGCCCCTGGCTCGTAACACCTGTGCCTGGGACATGAATGAATGAATGAAGTGAAATTTAATGAATGAATGAACCAGCCAACCTGATGAAATGCCTTTACAATCTACCAAGCTTCACCAGTTGCTGAAATATGCAAAGAGCATCATTCAGATCACCATCCACAGGCACTGGAAGTTAGAGTGCCCAAGGCAGGGCTCACTGTACTCTGGGCAGGAGAAGCCTCCACAATCTTCAGTTAGAAGATTTTAAGACAGTGATCTTCAGAGCCTGGATCCATTGTTCTTCTTCTTTCCTTCACCACCCACTTTCTTTAGTCATTCAATACATATTCTGCATGTCTTAGAATACTTATAGATGTATTATTTCCCTTCCTGTGAACCTTTTGTTAAGAAAATTTATCCCAGACTTCTTTAGAAACCAGGAAACACAGAAACTATGTATCTTTTCAATGTTTAACATGATATATCTAACTCTGTGGGAATGAAACTCTGATTATTATTTACTATTGATTAGGGTCTAGACGAGATAAAGTTAGGTGTTTACATGCAGAAAATTAATAGGTTACACATAGTTTTTGTCCAGTAGAGATGAAAATGGTTTGTGTCCAGCAGAGAAGATAACTAGGGAGATTACGGTTTTATTGGTATGTAAAACATTGCCTAAATTTTATCTAATTATGTAATTTATTTATTTCTTCTTTTTTATTATATTTTTTCCATTATTATTTACCCCATTCATACTCCCCCTCCCCCCTGCAATCACCACACTGTTGTCCATGGCCATGAGTCCTTTTTCCTTTGTGCTCAGTCCCTCCAACGCGTAACCTCCCCCGCCCCCAGCAATAGCCATGTCACCCTTCTTCTGTCTGAGTCTGTCTCTGTTTTCCTTGTTAGTTCAGTTTGTTCATTAGATTCCACATGTGAGTGAAATCATATGGTATTTGCCTTTCCCTGACTGGCTTGTTTCAGTTAGCGTAATGTTTTCCAGGTCCATCCATGCTGTCACAAAGGGTAAATTTTTTTTTACAGCCGAGTAGTATTCCATTGTGCAAATGTCCCTTAGTTGTTTTATCCTCTCATCTACTGACGGACACTTGGGCCACTTCCATATCTTGGCGATTGTAAATAACACGTCAATGAACATAGGTGTGCTTATATTCTTTTGAATTAGTGTTTTGGATTTCTTTGGATATATTCCCAGAAGTGGGATCACCGGGTCAAAAGGCAGATCCATTTTTAATTTTTTGAGGTATCTCCACACTGCTCTCCACACTGACCGCACCAGTCTGCATTCCCACCAATAGGGCAGAGGGTTCCCTTTTCTCTACATCCTGACCAGGCTTGTTGTTTGTTGATTTACTGATGATGGCCATTCTGACAGGTATGAGGTGATATCTCATTGTGGTTTTAATTTGCACTTCTCTGATGATTAGTAACGTTGAACATCTTTTCATACGCCTATTAGCCCTATGTTATGTCCTTTGGAGAAGTGTCTATTCAGGTCCTTTTCCCATTTTTTAATTGGGTTATTTGTTTTTCTAGTGTTGAGTTTTGTAAGTTCTTTACAGATTTTGGATATTAACCCTTTGTCAGATGTACTGGCGAATATGTTCTCCCATTCCAGGGGGTGATTTTTTATTTTGTTAATGTTTAACTCCACTGTTGAAAACTTTTCAGTTTGATGTAGTCCCATTTGTTCATTTTTTCTTTTGTTTCCCTTGCCTAGGGAGATATATCAAATAAAATATTGCTACGATAGTGACCGAGGTTTTACTACCTATGTTTTCTTCCAGGATTTTTATGGTTTTATGTCTAATATTTAAGTCTTTAATTCACTTTGAATTTAATAATCTTATGCCAGCTTTCTACGTTTCCCCACTACCTATAATTGCATTAGTTTTGTGTATCTGCCTTTGAACCAACTTTGCCATTTTGCTTGTCTCCTCATTAATGAATTAAATGTGTCATTAACATGTGCTCACCATATATTTATATGAGAATTATGTTTTTTTTAACTTTTTGAAAATTATACCTGGATACCTGGAAGGACAAATTTTCACTATTGTATAATGCGTGAGCATATATGCCTGCAGAATGCACAGAAAGATTTAGGGTTTTCAGATAAAAAAAAAAAGAAGGTTCTTCTGGGTGTGAGAAGAAAAAAACTTTGCACTCGGCAGTCCCACGAGTAGCACTGACAGGACAGTGGAATGGGGTTTCCATGTGTGGACCAGGCCCCTTAGCACTCCACAGCTCTCCATTCCCAGGGAGCCAAATTTCCTGCCAAAATCTTGCTGCTATGGAATAATTGGGGAGAACTTGATTGGCAACTACCTCCCTGACTGCATCACAATTACATTGTCGTTCATCTTCCTTTGCTCATTTTGCAAGTGTGAAGAAACGCCAATGATTTGCTACAAAAAAAACCATGGCTTCCTTCCTCCCACTTGCCAAATTGTCTTCGTCATTCAAGCTCTTATAGAATCTCCAAGTGGTAAAAGGTTCATAGTTTGACAATAGAATTGCCAGATCATTGGAGAGTTGCGATTCATAATTCTCATTTTCGTCACTCCCAGAGAATAGCTCAAGCTACTCTTCACATCTTTGACTAATGAGAAGCCCCAGCAACAACAAACAACAACATACATAAAATGAAGTTTCTGTTTGTCAGTTAGTGCCATGTAAAAACCACTGTGGATTTTCATCATACTCTGAGCATAAATTAGGGTAGTCTGCCATGATACTCAGTGTATCCTGGCGTCTTTCTCATACACTAGGTGGTCATATTTCAGACCAATGGAAACTGAAGGGCACAAAGTCATGAGCTGGAAAGGCATGTCAA